TTTGCCTTTCCAGTGTCTTGAAGCTACCTGTATTCCTTGACTGCTGGCCCTCCTTCTCTGTCTTGAAAACCAGTAATGCTAGCCTTTTCACGTGTTGAATTTCTCTTGCCTCTTCTTCCATCATCTCCTCTCTCTCTAACCATAGCTTTTAGGGACACAGGTAGTTAGATTGGGTCAAACTGGACAATTCAGAGAGGATAATCTTTCTATTTCAAAGTTTATAACTTAATCACAATTTCAATCCCATCTTCTAGAAATTAGGTTGAAAAAGTCATTGATTAAAACAGAAAAGCAATAATTACCTATTTTTACTTCGGACATTGGTAAGTAGTAGGAAGGAACCATTTTTTTTTCATTTTAGATCATTTTAAATCATACTTATTTTTTTGGCTGAGGAGTGTGAGAGTTATCAAGCAGTGTGAAAAGTTTGCATTTAATTGACAGAAAGTGACTGCTCGCTTCAGTAGCACATATAATTGGAAAGAGAGTTAGAGATACTATTGAGAAAATGTGACTTTTAAAAAAATAGAGATGAAAAAAAGAAGGCCACAGGATAAATTTAAGAAGTTCCTATAATTGAGAAGTTTTCTTTTTTTTTAAATCTGGTGTTTTCCTAAAAACTCTGGTTCAGTGGATTGTGAATTGTTTATGGTTTTCATTATCTTAGAAGGTAAGAAAAGTAGTACCAGAAAAGTTAAGGAAGACTCTAAGAAGAAGCGTTTTTCCAGTGAGTCCAAGAACAGCAAAGGTGTACCTGAAGAAGTGAATGGGACAATCTAAAGTTGAAAATTTAAATATATCACCTATTCCCCAAAACAAGTTTCAGAGAAATTCAGATAAAAGTACAGAAGAATGTGAAGAGATGAGAAATGATCATATTTCCAAAAAACAGGTGCCACCTGCGGGTAAGTTTATATTAAATATAATTATGAACATTATTCCACCATTTGACGTTTTTTAATATCCCCGCCTAGCTTTGGAATGTAGGCAAAATAAACCTAAATCAACAAGGAGCTTCAAAAGCCTAC